GGTACGGCGCGATCGCGCAGATGCCGGTCACCAGCGACACCAGACCGGCCACGGACACCGCAGCTACGGCTCCCAGCACGGTGATGAGCGCGGCCAGCAGCGCGCCCTTTAGCAGTTTCCTGGCGTCCAACGTCTTCAGTTTGGCAACCACCACGGCGATCGCGGCGCCCAGGTACTTCTTCGGCAGGCTGATGATGTCCAAGAGTCCGGCCAGCCCGAACTCGGCCACACCGTGCCCGGACGACAACGGGCTACCGGCGGCCTCGGCGGACACGTACGCGTAATTTTCGGGCGCGTGGTGTTGGTGGGCCACCACGCGGCTGGCCTCGGCGGTCGGCTCCTTACGTTCAGCCACGCTGACGGCCAGCGACGCGGACACGGCCATAGCTGCTACGACGATCGCGTACCTACGGACAACACATGCGGCGGATATAGGCGTTGTTACCATACGGAACGGAACCCGCGCGAAGACACCGTTTTCGGTTCGTTCGCGTTTATCACTTGATGGTCTAGTATATTGTTATTACGATCGTTGATTACGAACACGATATTGATACGTGTACATAATGTACCTGCGGCTAGATGCAGGAAGGGCCAATGTCATATTTTGATGTAATCAAGATCATCGGGCCAATCTTATTGTAGTTAAACACAAAAAGAGTCTTAGAATTTAAAAAAAAAAACCGAATGTAATCGAGTAACATAATTTTTTGAGCTCCTAAATTTAATTCAAAAATGATATGTTTACAATTAAAACTGACCAATTTAATGTTTTTGTTCCCGAACATTGTCATTACCCGACATAGCCCCTTATATCACATCAAGCATCTGTGGCAGTACATACGTATATATTTTATGCTATTTACGATCGAACGTTTGTTATGAACATAAAGATCGTTGGAGAAATTATTTTTTTCCACAAGATAACAATACTCTGGAAGACGATGTGGTAATCGTACTACTATAGTATCGGAGCGATGGAACAATGATTAATTATTAGTACAATTGTACTATCGTAGTGTACAAATACAAATCAGATACGCACATAAATAAACGTACACAAATCTTAATATTCCAGTGGTGTCCAGTGATCAAGATACTGTTTCACTGATTAACGTTATATTTTATAATTATTTATATAATATGTGTTATAATATCGTATTATCGGAACAATAAATCCAACACGCTGGAAACCGCTTGGAACACGGTTTCGACCGTGCAAGCAGAGTGTATATAAATCGAACACTTGTTGTGTGCGCGGTGCGAAAGCGATCGTCCGAAACAATACATTGTAATAACAATTAGGTTTACTCACTTGAACATTTTTGGATATTTCTCGTCTGTCGTGGGCACGGATATGTGTATGTTAGCGCGCAGAGACTTCGATGTTTGCGGGGTGTCGTGTGAATAGTTGATGTGTGCGACAGGACGACTGAAGGTGCGATGTGTCTTTTCGACTGACGTTTTGGGTTTATATAGCGGGCCCGACCGGGTATCTTACTTAGGGTTTTGCCGCCCTTCCTTTCACACACACACACAAACACACACGTATTCGCACGCAATGGTCTACAGTGAAATTTACCGCAGTACGATCGTTTACATCGCATTAGCGAACATATTAAATTCGTACCTAATCAACGTAAATAACGTCGTATATCCTAATGAAAATCTACTTTCATTTCGATAGTTTATGAAAACTATTATAGTGTACACAACGCACAACATTACGTCGCGAGTCGTATTATTTTCCATCTTATTGTATAATAACATATTTCGGGAGAGTATTTATCATTAGAATTATTTATTTTAAACGTACCATATTGGATGTACCGATATAATACATGTGTAATACGTACGAGGTATACGTATATGTACAACTATTGTACAAGGTATATATCGAGGGGATTTGCCAAACACCATATCTACACTGTGTTCATAAAGATATTGTTCGAGTTATTCGTATTCGTCTTAAGTTTTGGTAATTGTTATACCTACAAATAATATTTATCTTAAACGTTTTAATATTATCCACAAGGAAACAATAATAAATCATTATGAAATAATTACACATATATATATTTCATCTATATGCACAACGTTTTGGATCGATTTAAATACATTTAATATCACATACATTTGCATTTAAAAATACAAATGTGCACATATTGCGAACATACATTGAATTGCTTTTTACTAATAATATTCACTTATACAGAGACAATTTAAAATGTTGTTTTTTATTTAAGACAAATACAATGGAAAAATAGGTATATTTAGAAAATCAAATAATAGTTTTTCATTGAAAAAAATATTAATAAGATTGATAGGAACTGACAAATAATATATTAATATATAAATAAACAAATAAATAAATGCTTAGCCTGAAACATTGTTATATTTGTTAATCAAGATAATACAAAATCAATAATATTGCGAATAAATATGAAAAAATAAAGGAATGAATATATTAAGAAAGGTTAACCGTTTTACATAGAGATAATTTATTTTAATGGGAGAAATTAGTTAAAATTAATTCTTATTAGACATATTAAGAAATATATATACTTCGGTTTTTATTATTTATTATTATCTAAAATGCATTGATGTAAGAAATTATTCTTAAAATCGGTTTGTAAATTTAAAGTATTATTAAAATTATTTTTCTTTATTTTATTGTGTATTTGTAATTCTTCTAAAATTAATTGATGTAAATGTTATTTTGGGTGTTTAATATTTTTAAATTTATATCGACCTTAAAATGAATATTGTGGTTATTTTTAAAACATTTTTATCTAAATTCGAATTAGCAGCAGTCTTTTTTTAAATTCAATTTCAGAAATGTGTCCTTTACATATTATTTAAAAACATCTATTTGTTTTTCCTATATAAAATAAATTACGATTACGTCTATGTTGATTTATACTAGCGTTTACAAAAGAAGAAGGATTTTTTTATGACGTTTTTAGTTTTAATATCTAAATGTTTCATTAAATTACTATCAGTTTTAAAAGCGATTTAATATTAAATACATATTATTACATTGTATAGAATTTTTTTATTTTTTCGGTGTAATTATTTTTATATATTATATTTTACACATTTATTCACAAGATAAATACAATGGTGTATACATACTACATATTATAATTTGAAAATGTATTTAAAATCATAACTCAAATGTATTATTTTATTTCCAATTATAATTACGACATTTTTAATGAATAAATATAAATTTATTATAGTATAGAGTTTAATACATACTCTTAATATTTAATATATAAATAGCGCTAAGAGGTATAAGTTGTAAAATAATTTTTCTCAATGTCGTTTTATAAGTCAATTTTTGAAAATCCAAAGCAATTTTTCCGTTCGGCCAAGTATTTGAAATCAAATACTATTCGAAATAATTATTTATAACTTTTTGATTCTCTTTTTTTTTCGCACAAAACATGGCATTTTAAGTTCATGTATATAAAAAACCCTATACATTGATAGTGAAAACTTAAGTTTTATAATATTTTATATTATAAATATATTACTTATAAATATTTTGTAATATTGGAAGATGACAAGTATAAAAAGTCCGAACTTGTTATTTTTGTCAAAAAACATTATAATATTAATTCATGTAGTTTTACTTTATACATTTTTATTGTATTCATTAAAATTTAAAGTCCCATTGAGTCCTATTTAAATTTAAGAGAAATATATTAATTATGTAAATAAAATGATAATGACGAAATTAATATGTATTCGTATTTGCAATACACATTTTACAAATAAATAAGTTGTAACAACGAAAAAAGAAAAATTATGATACAAGTTATTTAGTGTTAAAATTAAAAAAAAAATTAAAATGCTTTGTACTTGTGAATTACAGTTTTTTAACTCGTTTCCATTGACATGTAAAATTATTTTTATAAAATATTAAATAGTATACAACATTTAGTACTTATATAATCGATTTGATTTCGATTTTAACAAATATTATCATCTAAAAATATCAACATCATTCTTATTATTTGGATTTATATATTACAAATTACAATAGGTGCATACGTAGTACATTTATTACATACATTTATTGGTTTTTTATACGCATTTATTTAGAAAGTTCTTTTATTTGAGTTCGAATTGACATCATTATATAATAAAAATCGATTTTAATTTAAATATTAAAATAATAAAATGAATTTTCGTTATTAAATATTTCCAAGTAGACACATATTGTAATATACATTTTCATTTTACATAATATAATATTAATATCCAATTTAATTTCGATAAATAACTCATCAATGCATTTTATATAATATTATATAATGTACCTCTAATAGGTTTATTTTGTGAAAATAACAAAATTATAAATCAATTTTTGAATTTAAAATCTATTTTATAATACTTGATATGATTTAATGATAATATTTGTTAAATTATCTATTGCACTATAAATTTTCACCATCTTGTATAGTACAATACAATTTTTGTTTAAATAGAATTAAAAATAAATTTCAACGTATTATAAATTATTCTAACTTTTTTTGAGAAAAAAGTATTTAAAAACAAATACAAGTAAATACATAATATAATTAAACATAAATAAATTCTTCAACTTTTTTGTATTATATTTTAATGACGACTATACATATTAATAATTGACTACATTATCTTTATTGTCATAATACACATAAAATATTACATTATTTTGTTTATAATATATAATATTATATTTATATAATATTTTAGCCCCCAAATATTTTAATAGCCCCTCCAAAATCGAAACTTTGCTAGAAATGTTATTCGTTGTTTTTTTGAAAATTTTAAAATAATAAATAATAAAAAAACTATTTACAATAGTAATATTAACAGTATATATACATATTAACAATAACAATTAGTTCGGCTACTTGCGAAAGAAGTTTCAGTGCAATGAAATAAATTAAAACTTGGCTAAAGACATCGTTTGTTCAAGATAGGTTCTGCGATCTTTCAATATTATATATTGAAAAAGATCTATTGAAAAATATAAAAAGCGATGATATTTTGAATATCTTTGCTGATACAAATAGATAATTGTCATTAAAATAAAATATTAATTATTTTCAGATATACGTTGTCTAGTGTTTTTTTTTTTAATATAATTTAAATAAGTTTTACTTGTGCATGGAAAAGGGGTGGGGGGGGGGGCAAATCCCCTGCGGGTTTTTTTACATTGAATTATTATAGCCCCCCAAAACTTCAACCAAATGTCTGTATCACTGGATAGCTTCTCTGATCACTGTCTTAAAGTTAATTTATAATTTTTACTACATTTGATTATTTTATTTATTTTAATGTATATTGTAAATTTATTTATTTTTAAAATATTAAAAAACTATATGACTGTAATCCAATTCGATTTTTTTTTCCCATTATAAAAAGTCTATCCTTTTAAATCTAAACTAACAACATTAACATGTAATCAATCAACACCTTGTCTCGAAATTAAAATATGTAAAAAAAAAAAATTGAAAAAAAAAATTAATTCGCAGTTATACATTCTAAAAACTTTAAATAAAATTGAAATATCGTAATAGCGTAAGTATGGTCGAAAATGTAATGAACTAATTTTATTTTGTTGATTTTTAAATATAAAAATTAATTTGATTTTTACAATACTATTACAGTAGTTCATGATAATTCGAAATTCATGAAATTTATATGAAAATTCGATTTAAAAAAGTTTTCGATTAAGTGATAGTTAAAACCTTGAACATTTATATTGTAATACATATTTATTATTTATGCATGTATTTAATTAAAGCTTGTATACAGAAACGTAGGAAATCATTTTTATTTCATCGGATTGATTGATAAAATATATGTTTAAGAACATATAAACTAAACGATAATTTTACATACCATTGTCATCGTTTTTTTTCGGCGTTAAAATTACATTTATGTTCCAATTGAATACGAATATGTAAATTGAACCGCATTAACACTTCTAATTAAATTTATATAATCATATATTAAATTAATATATTCGAGGTTCTGACTAAAAATATTCAAATTGTAGAGTTTTATCGCTGATTTATACTACTTTTTTCGGATGGCTTCTAGTTGCGTCCAGCGGTAAAAATTTCTTCCGTATTGCGGCTCGTTTTTTTTTTCTTGGGTCATATTGCGGCCTGAAATTTAAAATTAAAATTAATTTAAATATGTAAAATTAAATTTAAAAAGCTTCATTTTCCTTCACATTTATAAGATAATGAAAGCAGGTTAAAAATATTGTTTTGTTTTTATTTAAACATTTTGGCATTGGTAAAAACATATATGATATTTTTTAAGACTAAAAAGTTTTTTTGACATTAAAATCTGATATAAAATTGTTTTGTTTTTATTAAAAAATGTCAGCACTGGTAAAAACGTATATGATATTTATTGAAGTTAAAAATGTTAGTATAATTTAATAAAATTCTTAGGCATTATGGCACTGGTAATAACTTATATGATGTATAAATTAAAATTTGTCAATTTTGTTTTCTTCTAACCGTTTCATAGCATTTCTAATAAATGTTTCTTTTTCAATTATATTTGTTCTGCGAGTATATAAGTGAGTGCTTCTTAATTTTATAAGGTATCTTTCTGTACATTTTTCAGAACATCGATGAATACAAAAATATTAGGATGAGCACTGTAGAATAAAACGTTGAATTTCGAATGAAAAGTCTCACAAAATACTTTATCAGTCAAGATTAAATTATCTAGAGTTAGAAAACCCGGGCCGCAACTCGTCTGTACTTGAAAAAAATTCTAGCCGCAATTCGGATTAGATCTATTTTCATTGATATCTTTGGGACGCAACTAGTATGCAGCCCTTTTTTCGATTTATCAAGAGGACCGAAATACATTTCTTCGAATTATAGAGTTTTTCTCAGGGGACATTTATTTCGATTTATAATAATTTTCGAATCGTCACGGGTCTACTATAATAGCCAATACTATCTGTAATAACTAAAGACCGGAATTAATAGATATTGTAACTTTTTATTGATACCAGGTAAATTAAATCTGATCAAATATGCTTACGAATCGGATCAGTGGCGGTTCATCCCAAATATGGGCCCATGTGCAATAGTAAAAAAGGGTCACTTACATTTTAATTCAAAATATTATAATTATAGTTATATAAATTCAAATTTAAAGTGAGTATTTTTACTCTAAAATAATAAAATCTTATAAAAATCTAGGTACTATCCTTTTGTATTTAAATCAAAATTATGTATAAAATAAGATGGAATTACATATAATAATTATAATAATTTGATCGAAATTTCGTTTACGTTTTTTTTTTTTTTACAGCAAAATTATTAATTATTTTTTTTAAATTTAATTAATGAACTCGATCGTTTTAAATTGATAGAATTCTAAGTTCACTTAATTTTCTTTACACATTGTGCTCCGTAAATATTTTTTTATTAATTTTATTTTTAAAAATGAACGTTCCGCTTTAGCAACTGTTATGGGAAGTGTTAAAAATATTATACGCTGTACATATTTTGGAAAATGTTATTGTTAATGTGGGGTTCTCTATAACCAGTAATTCAGTAATTGCTTATATCGATGTTCGTTTTGTAATATCTTATTTAAAACAAGATCTTTACGACAACATTTGACAACAAGAGCATTAGATAATCAGAATTAATGTAATTTAAACTGGTAAAACGTTCTTTTAATAGTATTATTGGATTATCCAATGTTAAATAAAATATATTGATTTTAAATTGTTCTTTTGCTGAAGTAAAAAAACTCACTGTATTTTGACCTATATTCCTGAAGATTTATCAATTTAGAATTAAGTAATGAAACGCCTGTGCTCAGTTCTTGTTTAGGAGATTGAAGAACTTTTAATACATTATATGTATTACATGTAATAATATCGGATTATAGAATTACTAACAGCATTAATTTTATTTGACACAATACCTGGCTCATCAATAGCTCACTCTTTTTTTTGTTTCTTCATGATGTTGTTTGAAAAATATATCCATTTTTGTTATCCGTTTAATAGATCGTTCTTTTTGTTTTTTATTTTGCGTTTCGCGGCATCACTTGTAAATTTTAAAGTCATTATAATTATAATTTATAAAATAAAATATTTAACTTAGTTTGTCTTGTATTATTATGTATTGACTCTGAACAATGACACACGAGACTACGAGAATCATAAAATAATACATCTTACTCATTTTAAATACGTAGCGATATTTTAGTCGTGTAAATTCGTAGAGGTTTATATTATATATGTATACTTTTTACATAATAATATAGCCATCGGTGTGGAGAAAGACCGATTAGCGACAAAGCGATAACGAAAAACCACTGAAAATGTATTTTTATAAAAAAATTTTAGTCAGCCTAAATTGTTATTTATTTTGCAGAAGTAAAGATAATCAAATTTGATACAATATTTATAACAATTATATATTGATATAAATATTGTATCAAATTTGATAACAATTATATATTGATATCAAATTGAGAACCATGTGAACAATCTTGTTTCTTTTTCATAATTATATTTATTTAATTTTTTTTTTTTTTTTTGTAATTTTGAGCAATAATGCCCCTCCCTCTAGACAAGGGCTCGTGGCATTTGCACACAACGCACACATGTATAATACACCACTGAATCGGATTAATTACAATCTTCCTATTTAATTTAATAATGCAATTTTTTTTGCAATTTTCAACGATTTTGCAATTTTTGCAATTATTGCAATTTTTGTATATTTCACGTGATAAAATATACAAATTATTATTTCTAAAGTAATTTTAAAATAAAAATATAACTATGACGTAAATTCTTAAACGTAGTTAAATGCAGTTTAGCATTTTTAAAATTATATTTATCTGAGTTATCCACAAAACTCACAAGTTTAAATAAATCAAATGGTCAATTACTTAATAATTTAAACATATTTAGTGAAATTGAAAATATTTCGATTAAAATTCCCGATCCCAATAGGAAAATAGTTAAAGTTAAATTAAAATATATCTTAGAAAAAAATGAAGCATGTAAAACTATTAAAATTTACTCTGAGGTTATGACAGGAAATCAAAATATTAATTTAGATATAACACCAATTTTTTTAAAATTATTTTAAATATGCATTGATAACTAGTGTAGACGTTGAATTTACTTTTTCATTATATAAACATATTTTAAGTAACAGACGATACAATTTTCAAGAACACAATTTAGAAATGTACATACATAATTATAAATTTAATTAAAAAAAAAAATGATTTATTTTGTAAATATTATATTAATATCTATAATATTATTTAAGTAATTAATGAATATATTTGATATGATTTTACAATATAATTTTAATGTATTTTTCATTTCAATTTTAACATATTTATATTGCAATTTTGATACATTTTCATTGCAATTTTGGTATTTTTTTAGTGCAATTTTAAGATATTTTTAATGCAATTTTATCCGGTATTTAGTAATAACCAACATTCACATCGGTAATTTACTGTGAGCTCATATACTTTGCTAAAATCTAAATGACAAAAATTATGAAAATACCAAAAACTTTAAACGAAGCTTAAATTGTCATTGCTTATTGTTTAATATATATTATATTATAACAAAATGTTCTCATACATTTTTCGTAAAGTCAATATATTTTTGTAAAAACTAAAAAAAATCATATGCAGGTAACATTTTGTGAAAAATGCTCTTTTTTATGTTAGTTTTTTCAATCATCTCTCTAAATATTAAAGATATAAAAAAATCGTATATTTCCAAAATTGATCCAATTTATTTTAACTAAAACATGTGTAATTATAACATACACTGTATGCATAATACATTTTATATATTACCTACATTATGTATTACCTACATACGTCATAACGAATAACATAAAATGTATCCATACTTACTCGCAAAGTAATTTCAATACAAATTAGAGAAAGAATACGATTACAGGAGCTATAATAGTAAATACGATGTGTATAAGAATGTTTCGAAGAACGGGTATAGTTATTAGCAAGGATTAATGATGTTCATCAGCCATCGCCACCGTGTATATAAACCCATCGCGTTGGTCGAAAAGGCACACAACTCCTTCGCCTGTCTCATCGAACACTCCTGAACACAGTCTAAGACAAGTCTTCTCAAATAATCGACCCGTCAACAATCACCGAACCTTCAAAATGTTCAAGTGAGTACTATAATGTTATTGGACGGTTATTATTTCGTTTTAAACGATTCGGCCGCGTTCTCGCACCCGGTTTGTTAAACGTAACCGTATAATATTTTACACGTCGCGGTGTACAGCGATATTAAGTAATATACGGGTGCAGTAAACGGCGGTTGGATGGCATGAACAATAAACGTTTTCCGAGTGTTTTAAAGAGTTATCCAAAGGTTTAAAATGAAAAACAAAATATTATTGGGACATTTTACCTGGGGTTTCCGATAGCGGTCTAAAAATTAACGATCAAATAATAATAATAATAATAATGATAAATCCCCGTGTATCCTCACAGGTACACGATCGTGATCTTGGCGCTGGCCGTTTCCGCCGCGTTGGCCGTCAACATCCAGCAGGACTTCCAGCAGCAAAAGCAACCGAGCGCCGAGGCTAGCCACTTGGTGGCGCACAAGAAGCAAAAGCCCGAGAAGTTCGTATACGTGTCCGAGCCGGTTCGAGAAGAAGGCGGCGGTCTGATCGAGTCCGGGCTGTCCGGGTTGCTCAGCGTCATCGGGCTGCCCAAAAAAGTGTTGGGCGCCGTGGTCGGTTTCGCCTACGGCAAGATCCGGTCGATGGGCGTGAAGAACCTGCTGAAGACCGCGCTGGTGGCCGGTCTGATCACCGTGCTCGGTGCCGTGGCCGCTGTGGTCGCCGTGTCCGTGGCCGGTTTGGTGTCCGTCGTGTCCGGCCTGTGCGCGGCCGCGTTTTACTTCGTCGGCGGAGGCGGCGGTGCCAACGGCGGTGGCCACGGCAACGGTGACGCCTACGGTCAGGCGAGCGAGTCTAGGATGGATTCGATCACCGACTTCGTCATGACCGCGTTCGACAAGTACGAGTCGTTGGATAAGGCGTAGTGACCAACACGCGCACGTCCGTCGTCGCATTGCCCGTATGACGACGAATCGTTCTATTTATTGTAAACATATTTATTGTTATTGTTTTGCCCGCACCGCGGAAAATAAATCTAAATTATTCAACCATATTCGAATCTATGTCCATGTGTAGAGTACTCTCTTCCGGTTTCCTCATTTACACCTGTATATGCTTTTTGTGTTTGTGTGTGTGTGTGTGTGTACCCGTAACGTTTTATTGTACAATGAGTTCCGATCTGATTGGATTCGACGGAAATTACACGACCTTGACTGCAAATCTCGGTTCTGGTCGTGTCAACATTGTGCAGGGTCGTCCACCGATGCAGTGTTACAACCATCGGTTTTCAACGATACGACGGTGTAACTCTTCGATTATTAAGAATCGAATTTCCATCGCACGACAGTTATTTTTTCGAACCCGATAAGAAATTACAATATATCATTAACTTTCGTCGTGAAAAAAAAAAAAATAGAAAAATTACTAGTAAGTATATAATATCAAATCGTCGTTAACACGTAGTAGTAGTATATGCAATTAAACGACACTATTATGGTAATGGGAAGGTAGCATTTCAATTAGAACAACCGAAAACGTTTAATATGATTGTCTATACCAGTGATGTTTAACTTTTTTTCATTGATGGGCCACTTTGGTAAACAATTGTCTTAGAACGGGCCGCCAAATAAAAAAGTACTTACTTTTATAATAATATCAATATTAATCTAACAATGTTATTTTGTTACAAATAGCAGATAGGTACATATTGAATTTGTTTTCAAATATTTTATTGGCTACTAAAAATATTATACATTGAAGTACATACTGTAGGTACACACAGTGGCGTAGCCAAGGGGGGGCTAAGGGGGCTAAAGCCTCCCCCATGGGCCGTGTTTATATGTATAATGTATCTTGACTATTTAATAGAATCAATACTCGTTTTAATCAAAGGCATATTGATGTTATGCCACTTGAAGGACTTATTCCGGCCAATTTAAATATGTATGACGATAAAAATATTATAAAAGCTGCTAAAATATATGTCCAAGATCTACATGATGATACCTCATCTACAATCAGAGCTGACCTGTTCATATGAAGGCAACAATGGAGTCAAAATACTATTCCAAAACCGAATTCTGCTCTTGATTCACTCTCTCATCGCACCAATCTTCGACCTAACATTAAAATACTTTTACAATTATTCGCCACGTTACCAGTTACCTCTTTTACTCCGGAAAGAACGTTTTCAGCACTTAATCGCTTAAAAATTTTTTTAAGAAGCACCATGTTGGAAAACAGACTGAATGGGTTAGCTATGACTAATATAAATAAAAAAGAGCAATTCGATGAAAGTAAAATAATAACTGAATTTGCCAGAAATTCGCCTAAGAGAATGCAGCTGTCAAAGTGGAGCAAGTGACTGAACACTGAAACCAAAATTATTATTATTATTATTATAAATTATATATTAACAAATATTTTTAAAATCATACTAAAATGCTTGAATTACGTTTAGAAACTTGGTGGTAGATGGTGGGGGGGGTTAAGGGTGAATTCTCATATCCTCTTTTACCTTACTTATCCAAAAAAAGTGGTTAGCCCCCCCCCCCATTTAAAAATCCTGGCTACGCCACTGGGTACACATTGATTTGATCGGTACGCTCTTTTAAATGCACGAGTTGTATCGTACAATTTCTATTTGGAAATGTTCGAATATAAAATCAATAGATTTAAAAAAAAAATCCTATTTTATAATAATTTTACTTGTTTATTTAATATTTTGTTTTATTTAAAAAATAATTATAACGGGCCACGTTGAATACCTTCACAGGCCGCGGGTTGGGCTAACTACTATACGTTCAAAATATAGCTCCAGAATAATCAATTGGTTTCGTTACACCGTGCGTTTATTATAGATTTTATTTATTTATCACAAGAGTATAAAATTTATTTGAAAATATATTTACACAGTTTAAATACCTTATTATAATTGCCTAAAATTATTCGTATAAATAGTATCGCCAAAGGCACACTCATGATAAAGCATGCACTCGGTAGTAGAAAAATACAATAGTACAGTTGTATTTTTACGCTAAATTATTATTACTTTTTATCTATTTTCAACATAACGTGTAATATACATAGTTTAAACGTATTTAGCATTGCGATACTTATTGATTGCTTAAAATCACTCATTATTATAATAATATTCACTGTTGGTTTCAAAAAAATCAACTTATAGTATGTGTTTAGCGTTTACGTACTTAACATCGTACTTAACATCGTACTCGTAAATTGTTATTACAGGTTATACAATTATATAGAATACAGTATTTAAACAAAATTCGAAGTTCGTTGAAACCGACAGTACTTAAATAAGATTTTTTAGAAAAAGGTGGCAATAAGAAAAAAAAGAACATTACATTACATTTTAATGGTTAAACAATTTTAATGTACGATTTTCATAAAACTAAACACAACCTGATTATATTATTATATATTATATGTAACATATCAGTCTAGATTAGCCGTGTGAAGGAAAACAAAAAAAAAAAAATAAAATTCGTCGATAACACAAAATTGTTAACATATCGTAATCAAACTTTTGATCAAGCGGCATTAGAAAAGAAAATTGGAATGTACTGAATACGTATGCATGTGTAATATCATCAGTAGGTTTATAGTTGAGTTCGGAATAAAATGTATAAATAATTTTTTTTTTTTTTTTTTTAATACATATAGCGTGTAAAATTTACATGTTTGATTAATACTGCAAAACGTGTACGTGTCACATACTTAGGTTATACATGACACGAAGTGTTTTAAGTAAACTACGACAAGGAGCAGAAATGATTTGGGTGTTTTTCCTTTCTTCTGCTGTACAGTACCGAATTGTTGCGAAGAACTAATCGTATTTTTTTTTTTTTTTTACCGCGGCGTACTCGCGTGATAGTCGACCAATATTTTTATACGTAAAAATGTACATCATTGTTGTGCGGCGTCTCGCCGACCGCTTTACAAGAACGTGGCGGTGACTGCGTGACGAGAGAAAAAAAACACCCAAGTACAATGAAAATTTGTTTAACATTTACTACAGTGGTCTATAGAGGGGTAGGATAAAGAGGGGTGGGGACGTTAAAGAACACAATAACAAGAAGTGAAAAAAAAATGGCCGTATACGCGCGTAGGCGGTAGTCGTGATGAAATTAACAGACACAAAATCGTTGAGCAAAAAATATTTTGAACTTTTCGATCGTCACCTGGATCGTGTTTTCCGCGGATCGGACGCGTAGCCGTTGCATGGGTTGCTCCGCTCTCCTGGAGACATGCGCGGGATCCCGTCGAATGTGATAACGGTGACACGACGGGTGGGCGCGTTATGCAATTACGGCGATCGCTGCTGTTACGTTCGCCAGCCGCGCCCACCGCCGACGACCACGTATCTCCGTTTCCGGTTCCGGTCCAGTTTTGGCACGTCCTTGAAGAACTCCTCGTCTCCTTCCAATTCTTCGTATTCGTCCTCGTACTGATCGCCCGATTCTGCGTCGTCCGCCGGCGACGTCGACGGAGTATCGGGCTTGGCCGTGAACGGGTTGGGGGCACTATCTCGGTCAGCGGTCGCCGAATCTTCGGTCTTCGTTATCGTCGTCGTCGTCGTGGTGGTCGCAGTGGCCGCGGTAGCCGCGGTGACGGCCACCTGCGCAGGCCGCTGCTGTTGCTGCTGCTGCTGCTTCTGCTGCTGTTGTTGGTCGATGGCACTGTTTTTCGACGACGAAGAGCTGACCTGCACCGAAACGGACACCGAAGCTTCGGGCGCTTCGCGCGCAAAGTTTCGCCGCGACTCTTCATCGTCCACGTCCACGTCCACGTCGTCACTGACGGCCGCGATCCCGTCGTCGTCGTAGTTACCGTCATATTGCACGCCCCCGTCCGAGTGGTAATGCTGCTGCTGCTGCTGCTGTTGCTGCTGTTGCTGTTGCTGCTGCTGCTGCTGATGCTGTTGATACGGTGACAGCTCTTCGGGTGGACCGTTCTGCAACCGGAAACCGTGCCGGAAGTTCTGGTTGCCGAACCGCTCGGACGACAGCAATACCGGATGTTGCGGCTGCTGGTGCTGTTGCTGGTTTCGGTACGGCGGCGGTGGTGGTTGCGGCGCCTTCGACGGGAAGTGTCGCGGCGGTTGGAAGTTGGCTACGGTAAACGGTTTCGGCGATGGTTGCTGCTGCTGCTGAGACGGCGGTCGCGGTGACTGGTACCGGTGCACATGCTGTCCCTTCGGCCCCGGTCCCAGTTCCCGTTCCTTCAGGCTGTCTTGGAACGCGTTGTGCAACGCTATCAGCGCAGCTATCGTCTCCGGCGAGTTGGTCGGGTACGAGACGGACGGCTGCGGTGGTGCCGTCGGTCTGGTCGAGCTCGTTATCGCTATCACGGGTTTCTTCGTACTCGGCACCGTCGTGCTGGTCATCGTCGCTATCGGCTGGGTGGTCGTCCTCGCCGTAGTGCTCGTGGTCGTCGTTGTGGCCGCCGTGGACGCCAACGGTACCGGTCCCGCAATCGTCGTCACTTCCTCGTCGAAATAGTCCGGCGTACCGGAACAGTCTTCTTCGTCCGCGTTGCACTCTACCGGTTCCTGTTCCGGTGGCTCTTCTGGCGCGATCCTGCAAAAAACGTGTTTTACATTACTCCGCTCAGTTTAAACGTGTTTCATAGTTATAATGCCTACGGAGTCGTAAAATTGTTTTAAAACATGCACATGAACCTTTTTTTTTTTCTGGTGCTAAGAACTCAAGATTGTGAAGTTAAAACGAATGATGCTCTTAAAAAAATATTACAAATTTAATTTATAAACATTTACAGTTGGGGGAAGATGATCGTTTAAGATAGTGATAATTTTGATTTATGGTGCTAACTAATTCCAATCTACAGATATTAACATATGTGTTAATATTTTTTTTTAAATTAAAAATTTAAGTAAAGACAATTTAATTTCTATAAACGAGTATGTGTTACATTAAAGTATTCTTCTGTCTGGTTATCATTATACTTTGTATAACAATTATCATAGGTACTTAATACTTTTAGTCATAAGATGAATTTTAAAATTAAACCATATTTTTGTAAGAATATTAAAAAAAATCCTACCTATTTATCATATGTTGTATAAATATTATATTAGTAAGCATAATCACCATTTATAGAATTGTATATGTTAATAGCTAATTTATAATCTATATTGTTTAAGAATAATATAATCTAACCCTTTGAGGAGTAGCTTAGGAATACACAGACGCTACTCATAGAGCGAATTAGGAATGAAATGTTTAAAAAAAAATAATATATAAAATCGGAGATGTAATGTATAGATACATTTAGCGCAATATATAAATACTAAAAAAAGCTGAGGTACCAGAAAAACTTGAAATTATCTATCATACGTTTTTTGAATAAAACTAAATAAAACGTAATATACTATGTTTGCGAAAATAAACTATTTTTAATAAATAAATGGTATATTTCGAATTATAGAAAATACTTTTATTTGGAATGAACAGTTCTTTATTAGAATTAAGAAAATTTAGATATCAGAATCTAAGTGAGAAATGCATATATTTACAAAAAAACTTTTTTTGTACTGTATTGTAAATTATGTTATATGTTGCATATAATTTTATGTAACAGTTCACGACGGCCACAACAAAAAATTAATTATATTCAGATGTGAAGTAGATAAATTTACAAACATATATTTTTAAACAGTTGAATCTGTATTATCATATATTAAATATATGGTAGTAAGATTATAGGGTTTAAAAAAAATGTTTATAAAAGCAAATTTAACTAAGAAAAAAAAAATGTTAAATTTAAATGAAATAATCAAACAAATTAATATAGTGGAATAGGTTTAAATTTATTTTCAATAATTATATATTAATTTAACACATGTTTAATATACATTTCAGTGATTTTAAATTACATTCTTCAATACCCATTGGGCATATTGTTGGCCGTTACTCATTGGATATTAATATTATTTATGTATTTTATTGATAAATAAGTCAATAAAATAATAAAATAATCAGGGCGAACGGGTAACAAATTATTTGCTGATAATTTATACGATAATTTTACAAAAAAAATAAATAAATATGTGACCTCAAAAATTCGTATTTACGTTAACCGCTATCGTATTATGTATATGCATATTAGTAAATAAATTACAATGCATATAATATATAAACCAGTTATATAGATTTTAAATTTACTCAAAATAATAGTGCACCTTTGAGTGTTTGCTACCCAACTATCATTAAATTATTCACTTACTCCGGTGATTGCTATCAAAATTTTGTAGATTGATTTAGCGATAAATAATTTACCCATAGCCTGCTCCGTTATTGCCGTACAACTCCAAGTTTAGGTCGAAGAAACTTTCGCTCTTACTGCAATCCACTTCGTCCAATCGTTCACAAACCCTAGTCTCCTGATCGAATACTGTTCCGTTTAAACACAGGAACTTAATGTCAGTTATTTCCGCTAAAATCAACATTAAGCACAATGTGTTATATGTATAATGTAAGTTTTGATGATTACAATTACTCTAGCTTAAATTTTTTCACTAAAATCAGATATGAGGTATGAATTTATTATGATACCATAATTGTTGTGTTTTTAATCAACATTTTAAGTATAATTAATGTATGGTATTAATAATTTTTATTGACCCAATTCTCGATTACTGATAGTAAATAAATAATTCGTTTTTACATTTCATTTTCATAAAATATTATTATTTCCTCATTTTTCTTATTTTCCTATAGGATTTAATATAGGGTGTCTCAAAAATAATGCAGGATTTAAATCTGCTATAAATTAAATTTATTGTTTTAAAAAACCAAAACAAATATATCATTATCTAAAGGAGAAGTTATGGTTTGACAGTAATTTAAATCTTAGTTTTAAAATGTAGTAAATTTAAATCCTTCGTTATTTTTGAGACACCCTATATCTTGCGAAAAGATTCAAAATGGTTTCATTTAACCCTAGGATTTTATGATCAGGTTTTATAGAGTTATTTATTTATTAACTATAGGTAAACGCTTGAATTACTCACAAACAATATAAACACATAAATAACTTACTATAAAATTATACGTTGTTATAATATCAGTACTCTATATATTTAAATATAAAATTATCAATAATAATACGGTGTCTTTGTTTTTTCGTACAGTTCAATGATTTATTATAATAATAAATTAATAATAATAATAAATTATTATTAGAATAAATATCTTTAGTTCGATATATATGAAACATTTACATAGATTCAGCTGCATTTAACGATATTTTTATTATGTGAAAACAATACAAATATGTGCCATGTTGTTTACTGTAATCAGTGCTCGAATTGGGAAAAATTAAGTAGATGAGCTCAGTCTAATAATTCCATAACTGCGTTCCACGTGCGCAATTATTTATCACAGACCCGTAGGGGGCTTCGTTCCTCACCCCTACCTTCCGCCAACCTTACATATATTTTGAATACCACATTTCAGCTAAACAAATATTTTAATTCCAAATATAATATATTTTAATAGCAATACCAACATCCTACATGTTACAACAGAAAATAAAATAATAATTAACATAATTATAGGCGATCGGGCAGTTTCATGAATCGAATGATATAATCATACATTTGGTTTTTGTTTTTATCTATTTTTACTCTTTAGTGCGGGCATTGATTATAGAATAATAATCTATTCTAATTAATCTATTCTATAATCAATGGTGCGGGCCACGGCCGAAGATTAGTCGTGGTGCGGGCATTTTTTTTTTCCGAAATGCCGACATCGTCGATCGTCAATATTAATAACAATCCGTACAATGTATAAAGTATAATACACCAAATTCACAGACATTGCTATTTATATTTTTCTAGAAATGACGACGTTGTCCCTTATCATAACCACCATATAATCTTTAATTATGAAAATAGTTTTGATATTATAAATCGTAAATTTGTTTTCAAATTGACGTAAATTGAAATTCACATAAAAATTATTTTGGATATCAATTAGAATGAACGTGGCATTCCGGTGAAAAAATATAGTTGGGGTACGCAAAAAAAAAAAAAAAGGAGGGGGGGCCCCCCTCCCCCCGGGCCCCCCCCCCCCCAATTCGAGCACTGATTGTAATTTAATATTGTCCAACGACTTGATCGCGTCGGCTTTCTGTAACAAGTAATAAAAATAAGTACCGACTATGGTATAGGTGTCGTAAGCACAGTGTCGTATTTAAACATTTTGCGCCCAGGTACAAAAAAAAATTGGCGCCCCTCTAAGGGGCATACCAACGGAAAATATAGGAGTAGAACCTCATGAACCTTTTAGATATTCTAAAATCAATGTTATTTTTGTGTAGTAGGCATGTCACCATACGCCGTACACTATAACATAATATGCCGTATTATTATAAATAACTTATGTTTATTGATATAATCACAACAAATTTGGGAACTAATATTAGGTATATTAATAATATTCTGTATCGCTGATTTTAGCTATATTGCTATAAATATATTAATAATATATAATAAACAAAAAAAATAATAATTTCAAAATAATTCAAAAAGTTCAATAATTCACAAGTGAGCAAATTTCCGACCTCAAAATTTTGGGCCCCCAAAAAACTGACGCCCGAGGCAGTTGTAGTCAGTGCTCCCCCCTCTGAATTCGGCTCTGCGAAAGCATAATACTGTAGATACTATACATTTTATATTGTTATATTTACAGCTATCAATGACTTATATAAATGGAAAACTCGTTAGGGATGATGATTTCCAACAAATGCTGTTCATGTATGTTCTTTTTGTTCAATATAAAATCAAAATATAGTCGTTCAAGTTATTCGGTTGCTCTTCGATGGCTTCTTCGATTTAAATAAAGGTTCTTTGCCTAGAATTTGCAATGCAATGTTAATGACAAAATACCTTACCCAATCGAGTGTTATGACTTGAATCCACGATTTTATCACCTAATACTATTTCTCTTGTTATTGTAGTGTCATTAACAATACCTAATACAGTCGTTTATTGGTACCATTCGTAGATTAATATTATTAAAATATACTTTATGCGATCATCTTATTAAGTATTGAAAACGTGTTATTCTTATAATTTATATCGGTCATATTATGCAGTGATTTATTATGTTCAGGCTCTGGAAGTAATAAGAAACCAAGTCGAAGATAATAATATGATATCACCTACCTGTTAATATAGATAATAGTGTATTGTGTAATCCGTAAGCTGATGACAGACTTATAAAACAATGAAAACAATGCGAACGAATAGGAGTAGATTGATGGTTGAATTAAAATAAAAGTTACGTTTTTTTTTAAAAAATGTGATGACATTGGATCATAAAATTTACTTTTGTAAAGATATATATACACGCACACTAGTGAAACGGGTAATAAAAGTAAAAGGATTGCGAAATTAAAACCCTATAACGAGCAATTAAATGTTAAAACATACAATGCAAACTTCAAGCTTTTCAGATCGTTACTTCTAAATCTCAATAAAATGGATTAAGACATCGCTTGGCTATTTTTTCTTATTCATTGATTATAAAACTTTTAACTTTTTTATTTTACTTATTACGTATAATTTACTAGCGGTATGAAATGGTTACGTTTAAATAAACTAGTGTGATTCTAATTCATTACTATTATAGGTATAGCTGGATAATAAAAAGCATAGTGGAACAATATTCAATTTTCTGAACTCAAAACTAGTGTAATAAGTTATTAGTTATTATTAGGGTTTGGATTTGAAGGCAAAAGCCTTTTTTTTATAATAATAATAAAAAAATAATTTTTAAACAAAAATGTGTTTCAATTAATATCTAAAGCCATGAATATAATTATTTTTGTTGCTTTTTTTCTTATGAATGCCTTTTTTGTGTTTGATTTTTCAATAATCGAATACTTTTATACAAAGCTTAGGTATTATTGGTACAAATCAATAAGAGCTTATGAAAATAGTGCATTGTCGATGTTATATTGAAAATTATTACCAATCTTAATTTAGATAACTATTTATATATGAAGTACGCCGCAATAACTTTGGTGGCCGTAGAAAGATCATATGATTTTCTATGTAAAAAAAATATATTAAGTCCAAACAATCAATGTTTTTCTAAATATTTAAGTACATGATAGTAAATTTTTTTTATTACCAACTAGTTAGTCTATTTAATTTTGTAGTAATTTTTTTAATTGTTCTTTTATATAAATAAAATAGCTTTTTTCACTTTTTTTTCACATTTTAAATTTTTTTTTTTATTGCTTATATTGTCTTCAAATACGAACCCTAATTATCATTATTAAATCTAAAATTCAAAAAAAAATCATAATTAAATATAAAATAATTTAAAAAAACTATAATTGTTAAATTTTAATTTAATTAATTAAAACTAAAATTCGAATACTCGTCATGCGTTCTACAAAAAAAGCTTTTAAATACTTAAAATGCTTAAATTGTTTAATTAACTATTTTTAAATTATAATAAGTCTGTATTTTCAACATAACTATTAATAATATTACTTTTCCATCGTGTTATAATTGGTTATAATTAGAATATAACAATAAAAATGTAGTTATTGATCAAAATTGACTCGATGGTTAATTTATGTTAGTAGGTAAGTATGTGTATTCAGTAAAAATGAAAAGGATATTTATACCTTCAATTATTAATAATTGTGAAAATTCACTTAAAAACAGATACTGTTCACGGACAAATTTACAGAAATATTATAGAAACTCTTATCATGAAACATAAATTATATTTTTTGTAATATTTAACAAACGCATAACTGAGCAAAATTAAATTCTTAAATTATTTTTTTTTTCTTTAAGTGTAGGTACCTACTTAAAAATGTATAAAACATTATAACCTCACCATTTAAGTAATTCATGTACAATAATAATAGTTGATCGTGACAAATTATTATTTTATTTCTTAAATATAGATGATACTTTCGAATAAAATTCAAGCATCAATTTATTACATTTTTTAAATATATAATACATACACCACACACACAAACACGTGTGCATATATATAATAATACGTATGTATATGCAATCAGACGACAACGCCCTAAATTACAATTTATAATATAAGGGCGTTGTCATCCTAGCAGAACGTTTATATATTCCATAATATGCCTAATGATATTATCAAACTCTAAATATTATTTATTAAAATATTTTAATTCTCTTTTGCTACACAATTAATATTTTTATAAGCATGAAATTTATTTTATTACTTTAATATCAATTATGTCTAATCAAATTAGTTTTTGAATTCTAAATAACCATTATTGCATTTAATCCTTCAGACATAATAGTAAATACACATTAATAAGGAATTTCGAGTTTGTTATAAATTTATAAATTTGTACAGTAAATTCATTTTTATTATAATATATATACGAAATTAATTTTAGTTGAGGTTTGGAATTATCTAATTTTACGTTTCATTATTTTAAAAATAATTTTAATTTAGTTGAAATTAAAATTGAAATGACTGACCTATTAAAAAATGAAGAAAAAATATAAATATTATAATATTTTTTAATTTAAATTTTACTGTTCCAATAAATTGCATGGTTATATATTAGTTTTTATTAAAATAGACATCGAAATAATAATGTACTTATAAATTATTTTAACAGAATTATCTACACAATAATATAAATGTATGTTTACTCGGTTAAATTTGAAAGATAATGTTTCAATGTATACAGCAAAATATCAAGTTATAAGTAAATATTTTAACTATTTATTTTTTATTACGTTGCATCTACTGAAAAATTCACGACTTTATGATATTTTAAAATTCATTCTTAATTCTTACCAATGTTATCATAATTGTAATCAATAATCTATATTTATTCGTCTATTTGGTCATATGGGAGAATGTATTACCGAATCATCGTAAACTAGTAGACTTTATAATTTTAGAAGAGTTATCATTTAGACTTCAGTATACGAATAGTATGTAATTAAGGTAATTAGTTTCGCAGTTCTCTAACGATCACGATATAATAATATTTAATTAGTAATAATTTTTAAAAATTTATAAAATATTATAATAAAATTCTATATTTATATAATATGATGCAAAGTAAAAATGGAGTAGAAATTCGTTAAAAAAAAAAATCAATAGATTTTATTTTATAAAGGATTTTAGAAAAAATTACAAAGACGTTTTCAGATCTTGAAAAACCAAAAAAAAAAAAAACGTTTCCATTTCACGAAAAGAATGTTTTCACTACCAAAAGTCTCTGCGCTATGCATGTTTATAAACACGTACGGTTTATTAGCAGTACATAAATATACGTTTCTCGTTGTACTATTTGTATTGCATAATTTAAATTATCTTTGGGTCGATTTGAATACCGAACATTTTTAACGTACCTTGCCGAAGTGCAATAATTATTATAAAACACAGAGTCGTCGGTTCTGCCGGGGGAGTCGAGTACCCAGAACATTATATTACACCGGTATAGTATTATGAGCTTGTACACACACATATATATATATATACGCCAGGCAAAGAAGTAGTAAAGTTATGCAACGGTCAAACGATCGTTGTTGTTATAACCTTGCTAAGAATATCTGTAATTTATACACCCCGGTGGTTCGCAAAACTGGTCCATTGACGTGTATGCAACTACGCGTACACACACAAATACGTTTGTTATTATTATTATTTCCCTGCCCGTTCAACTCCCACAATCCGGATTTGTCTTGCTTTGTGATTAATTATTATCAAAACGCAGCTTTAGATCGGCGAGAGTCGCTTCAGACAAAACACCGTATAAGGTTCGTGCTTGCAGATCGCACGCGTAAGATACAATACAACATAATTACGAGAGAAAAGACACGACGAATAGCTCCTCGGTGGCTGCTTTGTGTACGTCTAAAATGCAGTCCGTTTCAACACATTTTTTTCCCCTCTCGAACTGGTACAATCAAAATAAAATGTGTAACGTTATCGATTAATTAAATCCGTCGGCCTACGCCAACAACGTTTTTGTTTTAAAAATACGAAACGCAACACTTCCTCTTTTGCACTGCTACGTGACACACATAACGCATAATATTATTTGAACTTGCATTTTTTTTTTCCCTTTCTAATTATTAATGATTAATGGTGAATAACATTGGGTTTGCTGCTTCCTAACCTGTCCGTCGACAAACCAACCACTCAGATGTTGTAACACTGGTTTGTATGATAAAGCTATCTGAATTTAACTCAGAACTCAATTCTTACATTTAGCATGATGAAACAACTATTCATTACAGATTATGGTATCTGTAATCGGTATAGACGCCGAAAACTCTCATTGAGTATATTTAAGTATATACCTATTATTATTTCTACGTTTTTAAATTTTTTTTTTTTATTCATCAGGTTAGGACATTGATTACAACATGAATCGTTTAACGTCGGTATTAATTAATTTAATGATTATTATAAGTCGATTTGTGTCCATGGTTTTATTTTTGTCCGTATAGATATATTTTAAATGAAATAATTGTATAACCGACAGGATTTTTTTGTTGATATTTACCAAGTTATTTAAATTTAGTACATTATAATATTAGAATGTCCAGTGTAATTATGTTATGATAACAATAAAGTATAAATTCATATAGAAAAAATTTTTCTTTTCACGAGCCGGTTCAAACATTTTCAAATTTGTAATCTAAATGCTTTGCTCTCACTTTTTCCAAATTAATTATGTCATGGTGTATGCCGTTTTTCCCTGCAGACATAACGAACAAACAACTAATGCTTTGGAAAATAAACATGTATTTGCCTGGTCTATATTCCATATCGAAAGCATTTCACATCGACCTAACCTTTATTGTCGTTATGTAACGGCAGTACGACACTAATACTCCGTTGCACATATCTAAGTGTTAAACATGAACTAATGAAGCGATCGGTATAACGTATAATAATTTTCGTGGTAGCCATTTATTACCTGCGTTACACATGTAACATCGTCCACATATTTAAAACGCTATTGTTGACTAATGCCAGCGCAATTTAAAACACTGTGCTGACCAACTGTATCGTTAAGGTTTCTTGGAAACGTAGGCATCTATTATATAGCGCGTTATGATGTAATAAGACGCTAATATCGGGGTATTTTACATAATATTTCGAGTCTCGATCGATTTAAAACAATACTCACATCCGTGTGCTCGTAATACGTACGTAAGTATATTGTTGCTGTAGGATACAATCGCACAAAGCCAAAACTGAACGAAACCGGGTTCACGTGTTCCTTTTAAAAACCAAAAATATTGCGAGTACTGGTACACGCGCCTTTGTCGCGTTCGGAAAAACTGCAACGGGTAGTCGGCGTCGAAACGCGTACCGGCGCTTTTCACGGATAAAATTTCATAATATCCATCTCGTTGCGGAGCTGCTTTGTCATACCGATTGTATCCGCGTGAAATGCGGAACGCAGCACGAAAACGAATCGCACGTTACGATAAAAATAGGATCCTATCCGTTAGGAGTCGGACGAGTTCGCAAACCCATTGACGGCGAACGAGCTTTAAGACGCACCGTGTCGATAATCGTTTTCGTTCTCGAATAAATATACGTATACACGCGTAATACGCATGCGTGTACGATATGTATGTAATACACATAAACAGATCCCATGTGATTACGTGTTGTATATAAACCGCAGACTGGCAAGTTAACTCGAGTAAAAATAATACGTATACTATGTGTACCTTAAAGCAATACATACGTACACGCGTGCACACGTATTGCTGCGAGTGGTAACGCGGACTAAATCCGTGTAGATTTTATTTTTATTTTTTTTTATGTAAATCACGATAACTGGATTGCTCCGGTTATACAACTGACTCGCGTGTCGGAAGAAAGTTGTCTTTAAAGCGAAAAATTGAATCGGGTTGGGCTTTATTTTTACACTCTTACCTTTTTGGCCAATGGTACAAACATGAAACATCTGACAGCCTGTCTCAACGTCCGCGTAATAACCTCCGATGACTTTGCCGTCGCATGAGAAATTCGTGTCTGGTAGATTGTCAAAGTCCAAATACTACGAAAACGTAACAATAACTTCCATTAATGATTGTCAAATAAATAAAAGGTATTTGAATCGAAACACAAAATAAACCATTGATTTTTTTTACGTTTGTCGATTTCGTAGTGATAATTAATTTTGTAAAAACTCGATTTACATAGTAATTTTTATGATCACGGAAGAGCCAGGGTACAAATCACTATAATATTAAACATAAGTATACTTCTTCATCATACTATAAATTATTATTTAAATTGTTTTGATAAAAATGATAAACATCAAACTGTTTTTACGATATTATCACAAGAATAATGTCCGTAAGATCTATAATCTGATTGATGGGTATACAAAAAATATGTTTTGAACACATACATTGGAATACCAAGCATATCCGTAGTTATTATTATGATAAGTATAATATTTTAAAATTTAAAACTATCGATTATAACACTACAACCAACAAGTAATTGAAAATATTAAGCTGTTAAAAATCAAAGGCTGCGAGAAAAATGTATATACCTGTGTGAATGATTCATGATGATTCATTATGTATCATCTAAGACATTTATTTAGAACATAATATTATTACACATTATTATATTATATGAAATTATATGTCAGCTGAATTAAGACACAATAAATCTTCGAGAATAATAATTATGATTTTATACATAAATACGTTTTAAGGTTGTGTAATAAACGAACTATTGGTATAAAGAGTATTGTATTGAAGTTGTAATGTATTAATCAGAAATATCAAAACATTTATTTGAAAATATAATTTTTGGATTAATAATCGTTATTAATAAGTAGGTGTTTAGCTATAAATATAAAAAACTAATTCTTAATTAATTAACTTCAAACTATGTAGGTTTTTTTTTTGTATCAGTAATGAATCGTTATTTAAGTATAAAAAAGAAATACAACAAAAAATGAAAATTTCCTCAAATATTTCCAAAGTATACATTTATTTACTAAATATTTTAAAACTATCTACTATTATCCAATTATAAAGTTATATGTGAAATTAAATTGGATTTGTTTAGTTTAAGATTATCCAAATCGTATACATTTTTTATCTGATTAAAAATATCCCATTTCAATAAAAATATGTATTTACAATCAAATCCGTTCTTTAGTCATTACGAATATAAATAATATGATTTATAGTATGATTTTAAGTATACGAATGATAATAGTTTTAAAAATGAAAAATGTGGAAACATTGTGAAAAATGCGATGTCAAATTATTTCTTTATTTATTAAAAATTAAAAATAAGTTAATGGATAGTAGATGAATAAATACTGTGATAATTAAAATAATTGTATAAAATAAATAATTGAAGTACATAATATTATAGGCTTTTAACCTTATACCTACACAAATATTAAATATCTTAAATTAATAAATATTATCAAGAAATAATTATATTCTCACGAGAAAATGTTTATCAATTAAATATTATTATTCTTAACTGATCAATGAAAAGCTTCATTCATCGATAAGATCAATATTTTATAAAATAGTTGATGTTTCAATTAATGCAATACTGTCAACTTTATTTTTCTGAAATCATATACGGTATTACAATAATTGGGTTCATAACTATGAAAACGTTTTTCAATTTCAATTACTAATTGACTGCTCGGACAGTATAGTAATAATAATAATTGTGTACAGTTAAAATTTTAAAACTTTTTAGAATCATATGTATTTTTGTATAAAATACCTAATACCAATGGTTTTCCATCTATTTCTCTACATGCATTCTATGGCATGTATTTTATATAAATATATAAACGTAATTATTTGGAAATACAAATAACACATTGAACTTAAAATTCAGTTATGATAACATGTACTAAGTAATATACGTAATAAATATTATAGCAATTTGCATAATACTGTGAATAAGTAATTGAATTTTAATGTATATAATTTCAGTTACTCTCAACAATTAACACCAAGCAAGTTATCATACACTAATATTTTAAACATAAATACGCTATAATTTCGGATACTTTCTCCATTAAGATTTTTTTAATTACTTACGATCTTATTTTACGTGGATATTTAAAAATGATCAATGTTGAAAAACAAAAGAATAGTTTCTTAAAATGTTTAAACTATAGTATCAATCGTTCGCATAAAATTCGTAACATTTATTCGTAATCCAGTCAATTTCTTATCTAACTCACACAATATTATCTACTACTAATGTTTAGTTATTTCGTATATTTTTTCGAGGATTATAACTCAATATCTGCAATAAAATTATTGCACAATTACTTGGCGTGTTTTAGCATGAGATCACTCATCTTTTTTGACTCAGAAACGTTCATTGCGATATTTTGCCACCGTTATGTGAACATAACATTATATACTCCACAACTATGGGTTTTCTAGCGTGCCCGAGTTACATAATTTAGTTTAAATAATCACATGTGCTGGAGTAGATGCCTACGGAACTAGAATTTGGGCGTTCGGCTCCAAGGAACTAAAATTATGCGTACAGGTATTATGCAGGTATGTTATATTTCCATAATTGCGATTGTTTCACGGCGATTGATTCGAAAAGTCATATTTAACATACGGCACACTCGTAACATAAATCAACATAATGTACTTACTCCAGGTTGCACGGCGAAAGTGTAAATATTGGCGGCATTCCACCAGCAATTACAGTTCCACAGCACAGCTGAAAACAAAAATATACAATTATAGTCATTATTAATTTAATGAAAAACGTGATCATCGAATATAGGATATTAGTTGGATACGATATGCTCCACGTATATAAATATACTTATACAATAACTCAAGAATGAACATCCATAAGCAATTTGTTTTTTTTCGGCCAATATAGTTTATGAAACAAATAGTAGAATATTATGCAATTACAATACTTAATTAACATTTTTTTCTTCATTTATTAAAAAAAAAAGCATGAAATAAGTAACTAAATAAATAAAACTATGAATACATCATATAATAAGTGGGCGTTGAAAATGCATACTAATTAAGTAAAAAAAAAAAAAAAATGCAGTGAAATTCGTGTTATTTTAGAAAATTCGCAGCGTATAATTTATTTTTTATACTTCATAAAATGTGTAAGTATGCGTGATACTAGATCTAACCTCTATACGTACATGTATGAGTAGTTAATAATGAGGTCTTTAAAGTGCATTTCTATTCGAATCATTAGAAAAAAAACAAAAATTGAACCTTATTTTGGTTTGTTCCAAAATATCGATTTATTGCGTAACATCACACACACACACAGACACACACACACATACATATACACACACATAAATGTATATAATATTAGTTCTGAAACGAAAGAAGCTTAAATTGTATATTGTCCATTGACTTTTCGGATTAGTAACGTGCATTTGCATGGTTGATGCTTGGAGGGAGGGGACGAGGTTTGTTACGTGGTACTGCACAACATACCGTATTAGTATTTCGTACCACTATTACCATTATTAACTATAACATGTACAGGGGGCGGTGGCGAGTACTGTCGGACGGAAAAGGACCGGTGAGGATGTGAGAATTGATGGTTGGCTAATAACAATATTTTAAAATATATTGTAAACGAAAATACGGCACAAGGAAAATAACGAGAAGAAAAAAAAAATAATAGAAACACCTTATTAAACCGATCTCTCATCCGTGTTCGCGACGACCTCGGCAACCGAGCATGACCCTCTCGCGCATTCTCCCAGCCCGCGGAGACCTATGATCCGCCGTGGTGGTGTACCGTATAAGAAAGAGTAAACAATACACAACCGTCTATACAAACGACCATTTATTTTCAATGGGTACCGTTTTTCATTCTATTCTTCCATTAGCCGCATTATATTATTATTACCGACGACACGTGTTGCATACTGATATCGTTGTGTGTATTTTGTGAATTAATTTTATCGAATCGCGCGCGCCCCGTCGTCGTTTTTGTATGCCACCGACTTTCATGTGTAAGGTAATGTAATTGTTTCTCAATCGAACTTTTAAATCGATGCTCGGATTTCTCGTCGGATTTCCGCACGGGCAACGACGATTATTTCGTGGTTCTTTTTTACGTAGATAATATTTATGTGTTATATAATCAGATGTGTCCCGGTACTCGTATCTGAGCGCACGAAAACGCAGTGCTGAATCCCGAATGCATTGTCATTAATTCGAATCAAAATAAATTTCCTTTAGAAATCGCCATAAATATCAATAACATAACACATCGTACATAATACATCGCACTATAAATGTAATTTATTTCGTCATGATAATTTCAATAATTTTAATGTTTTTCAACGACTTGTGTCGGATATATGGGGGAGAGGGCGGTGTACACCTGATCATCGCCCTGCAGAATACCTTTATGGATAATTTTGTTATGTGATAATAGGTAGTAATCATTCTGGTTTCAAAAGTGTTTATGATTTCAGGATTTTCTATGGAAAAAATCATATTCTAAATCAAAATTCGACGAAATAATATGTGCTAATAATATTTAAGTACTAAGGTGGAAGGACGATTTAATTTTTAAGTTATATGTTATGGATTAACATTTTTAACTTAGTTTTTTCGTCGTAATCTAAAACCGGATTCTTCTAAATTTCGAAAAATACAACAAATCGAATTTTATCGGTAACGTTCTCTTAATATTTTGAATCATCAAGAAACTGTAATAGGTACAATAACGTATTATTCGTGGATACAATAATTTATATACTCGTAATTCTGATTAATACACCTGTTTGATACATACAATTATTCATAATTATATTCAAATGGATTTTTGGAAATAACAATTGATTAAAAGATTTACGATATTCAAGATATAATATTTTATAATAATTATATAATATAATCTTATTGTGCCGATTTTCCAGAATGATGAATAATTGATAATAAATGATATTTTTAGATTTATCAGGAATCAAAAATCATATTTGTCTTATAATTTATTGATGATAACATGTTTTTTTTTTTACACCACAATAAACACTCATGTCGTGGACAGTAAAAGAGTTGAATATTTATAACATAAACTATAATAAAAAATATTTTTCAGAAAACAAGTTTAAATAAAAAAATAAAAATACATAGGTATCTACTTAAATATATTATGCAAAATTGTTTACTTGTTTGTTCACTTCTTCGCGATTTTTAGACTTAACCACACAATAAATTACGACACTTTATCGCAAACCACAAGAGTTTACGATTTTATATCCTTGATGAAGACTAACATAATGTTAGAAATTATCATGTAACGGACCGTCAAGATAAGTCCGAATTTCAAATGACACTATGACCCAAATTGTCATTTGTTTTCGCTGTTTATATGAATTAAGTATTTCATAAACATGATTTAACTTTTATTTGGGTTCTAAACAAGTATTCAATAGTCAGTACGTACAAAAATCCAATTTATTTAGAGTATCGTTTAAAATGTGTTTACACGGTAACTCATTGTACACTTTTTTTAACACATTGCAATGTTATATAAATACGAACATTTTTATCTTTACAATAGTATACATTATTAAAACTACTTCATTAAACAATAAATAAATTATTAGTTTTTTTTTTTTTATTTCACTGTTTTTCATTATCTTTTTAGATTTTATTTTATTGTTAGTGCTTTCAACCTATTTACAATCATTGCGTTTCAGAATCTTTAATAGTATTTATACTCTCTTTATAACACTTATATACGGCACAAAAATAAATTGAAAAATGTCTTTGTTGTGCTATCGTTCAATTTAAAAATTTTAAGGCTTTTTAATGGAATTTCGTTGTCCTTTATTAATTTGTTATTTATCTGTTCATTAAAAATCTTGTTACGTGTTGGGTTGTTCACTTTACTATCCTCTTATAATATGATATTAGATAACAGCCTTAACGTTTCGATATGCTCTGTCTCGTATATACTCGTTTATAGCCGTTTCCAAACGAATCGGTGAGAAACTCAAATGGATTTCTTTCCGTCGTCGTCGAGTTACGTAGTACATAATAATATACCTACATATTCTTTAAATTCAAAATTGTTTTAACAACGGTTTTTTCCCTATTATTATTGTTATTTTCGAGGAATTTAATTAAAGATTTGTCGCATTGCAAACACAAAAACATTCTAGCGTTGGGTGCACGTGAGTATTGCATTATGTTGAAAACGTTGTAAACGCGTGTGCCAATGTGTGTTACTCAAGAGACGAAATTTGGAGAAAACGCACACGATTCGTAAGGCGCGGCACACGACCGCTGAGTTTTACACGTGCGTATACGCGACGCGACGACGTGCGAGTGGGCGAGGTGCTCAAATGAAGACATCCGAATGTGATCGAAATCCGAACGTCTGTAAAGGAGCACGTAAAGTAAACTTTGAATCGATTCGACGACGTGGATAACACTACGTATGTAGGCAGGCCCTGCAGGTGGGCCCGTCCACCGTTCCGACGATGGTTTCGATCATATCTCCGTTTAAAACAAACGTTCTGCAGACACTGACAAATTTTTATTATGAGCATATTATTATTACGTGCCGTATTCGAGAATCGTTTCCAAGAGCTACGGACGATGACGTATACGTTTCGATTTAAATACACAATGCAGCAGTAAAGGTGTGCTGTTACAAAAAAGCATCGATGCATGCACATATCTGCATATTGTATTCATTTTAAAGCAGTGTAGGCACCGATGTTGTACGTGTGATTCATTCATTGGCGTACGTCGATTTTCGAGAGCCATCTATATGGGAAATGGATTTTATACCGAAACCAACCTCGCCATCTCAAATAGTCGAATCATTTGTCAGTCTCGAAAAGAAAATCTTAAAAAGTTTTAGAGTTTCCTCGAAGGAAATGTATGAAAGTCCATCAATTATTTTATTTTTAAAATCGGTAAACAACCGATTCGCTTGGCAAAATAATAAATTTCAAAACTAACTCACATCGAACTAATAATATAACATTGCTGTATCGAATCCAAACAAGACATGAATTATATACGTCCTCAATTTTTTCCATGTATATAGGTAATACACAAATATGTATTAATAATATTTGTTTAGCTTTAATCTTACATTTTTTTTTTTCAATACAGTTACGGGATAAATTCGTCGGTTAAAGGTTATTCTAGTTGTCAGTCGAATTCAATTGATTTTTTCACGGCAAAACCAATGCCGTCTTATGTATGCAACGTCATATTATTTTCGTAGTGGGAAGCAGGTATACGAGAGCTATGCCATGAGCCATATACCCCATGACCTTATATGAACACCCGAGAAAGGTTTTCTACAATGAAAAGAGCGTAAACTTGCAGCAAACAATTGCTTATTAACTATCATATTATACGACTCAAGTAATAAGTGTTCCGAGTGTTTTAATTTTTAATTTTTTTTTTTTAACAAAGTAATTTAACCATCAATGGCTTACGGAAAAAATCTTAAAATACTCGGCGAAATGGCTATATTCTTACCTGGTTCCAAGCATTAGCCTAAAGTCCGTGGAAATTTATCAGTACCGCAAAATTGTTTCGGATAAAAATCATGTAGGTACACGTCATTGCAGTGCAATATACATTGTACACAGTACAATTTACACACTTCGTACAATCCGAAATAGCTTTTTGCAACGGATTCTCACGGACCTTGGCGGTTGTCAGTAAAGCTGGGCGTCCACTAGGTCA